ATATCTGATCCCGTGCACTAGCAATTCTGAACATTACCTGCCTGTTAGCCCCCGTACATTTGTCGAAAGTCATTTTCAGAGGCCCATTTAGATAGGTACCCGAAGATTTTTAACGACGGTGGGAACTATTTTGCAAATAGTAACGCTGGCGTGCGGTGCAGTCGGTGGTCTGTGTGGCCATTGAACTCTCTCTAGCCACTTCCTTTACCTCTACATAGCGCTTCGGCATAGACTCTCATTCCACTTCTTTGTCGTTCATTTTCTCGAGCCTTGCTGCAACGTTCAATACCCGGGATGTCTCTTGGAGATTGTTGGGCTAGGAGGAGACTGATATAGCAGCCGCAGATATCTTTGAAAAATTTGTCAGAGAGAAAATTCAATTCAAAGAAATTCGAAAAATAACGGGAATTGATAGAAAAAAATCAGCAAGAAACAGTCTGAAAAATAAAAGAATTGGAGAATATAGTTATATTTCGTAATCCACCTTGCACTGGGGGAGGGGGGAGGGGGAGGGTAGAATATCCCTGCACTTTTAGATGTCAGCAGTGGTGGTAAGAGTCCTTCAAAATGGCGGCCTTGTCCTAGGGTGTGTATAACCCTGAGTCTACTCAGTGTCACTAACAATACCTTCGAGAACACGGCTCTGCAATGATAGACCTTCTTTTCCTATCTACTCGTGGGGTCCCTTATGAACCATGAATTAACCAAAAATCCGAGCCTTCTTTGTTATATCAGATCAAGAGCAGAGGCTTTTCAGTTCTTCAATTCTTGAAGCGACTTGTCGCCTCGTCAATGGCACGATATTTTATGAATGTACATCAAATTCTTGAGTAGCAAAAGGGGAATCAGGAGATAAAATAATCTACCCTGAGCATGTACTGCAAATAGCCTGAGTTAGAAGAGGAGATTGACGTCTATTAAACGACCCCGACTGAATTAACAGGAAGAGCTTCGGACTTCACACCAGCTTTTGAGTTGAATTTACAAAAGATATGGAGGTTGATGAAACGACTCCAACTGTCCTTTCTGTAACTTCGGATGAAGAGCAGAAGCTTCTCAGTTCTTCAACTCTTGAACAAACCTAAAGCTATTCATTGCCTCCTCAAGAGCAGGATATCTTACGAATCGGCCTTGCACCAAGTTCTTGAGCAGCAGAGGAAGAATTTGTATCAGGAAAGGAAACAATATTCTCCTTGCAGGCCCTGCAGGTCCTGAATTTACAGAAGAGATGGACGTCAACTAAACGACTCCTATTCTTCTCCCTGTAAGAAAGGGTCAAGACAAAGAGTTTTGAAGTTCTCCAGCTTATCAACTGAGTTTACAAAGGAGATGCGGATTGATCAGACGACTCCAAATGACTGTCCCTGTAACATCGGATCGAAAGCAGGAGATTCTTAGATCTCCAACTCCAGAACAAATCTAAGAGATCATCACTGAATGGATAAAAATTTCCCATGGTCTGAAATTTTGAAGGTGAATATCCTTCACTAGAAAATTCAGTCTTGTTGCAGAGCATGTGCTCTATATCTGCCCAACAACGAACCGGACCAAGTTTTCAGTGTTCGTCTGCTGACATGAAAGATCACTCACCAATTGAAGTAATCGGCTTCGTTGAGAAGCTAAATTTATTTGGTCGAATTCGAATAGGTGTGAGCCACATTTTTTGGAGGGTTGGTGTGGTGGACTCACTTTAGGCCTACCTAGCTGCTTATAGTTAGTAATGGCACAGCAATGTCACTTCGCTTGGTGGGAGAAGTTCGCGCATATCCGTCGCGTTGATGAGTCCGCCATTTTGGGAAGTGACAGACTTTCTCATTCTGCTTTTGGCTTTGCTCCTGTGAGGATGTATATGTTACATGTGTTCTGTGCGTATCGTGAATTTTAACTTTTAACATATAGTAGAGTAAGATTATTTTATATATTGAATTATATAAATAGGGATTTCAAATCTGGGAAAAATATTGCCAAAAAAAGAAGGAAGAATAAAATAATAATTTGGAGACACGAAAAAATGTTTTAAAATGAACAATTTGAATTTCTAGTATTTTCCTTATATAATAATAACCAGCTACCCTGGAAACCTAGAAGGATCCCAAGTGGGTCAACTACATGATATTGACATTTCAGGAGGATAAAAAACGTTCTGTGAACGTATTACTAAAAAAGAATAAAAAGATTGGAGTAACAAAAGTAAGTTGATGTTTGGATAGAGCTTACCTATGTATATATAAAAAAAGACATTTGTGTTGAAAAAGAGTTCATTCTAAAATGCAAGGAGAACGTCAATTCTTATAATAAAGAACAAGCAATTCAACTGAAAGGTTAATCAGTAATATACAAAGTAACATTTATTTTAAGAGAGGTAGATCATAAAGCTCATACCAAAAAGTTGATTGCTGGACAATTTCTCCTTCATATTCCAGTTGATTGAACCATTGTATACCTACTGGTGATTTTAGAAATAATTCGACTGTTTTGACATTTTTTGAAAAAAATCATGTAACCAGATAGAATGTCTGCACAAGAATTATTATATCAATTAAATTTGGGTCCATTCCGTAAAGTATATCAAAATTATATGAGCATTTTGGATATAAAAAAGTTTGAGTGCGAACCTGTCCAAAACCATTTCGCGAGTCCTGCCCTCTTATCGTCACTTCCCAAAATGGCGTCTAGATACTTTTCCACATCATAGGCGGCATGGCCAAGTGTCCATGCTGATTGTTACCTATGCTGTGGTAATGGATTTTGACCGTGAAGGTGATTATCATGATATGTTAGATTTTTTTGAATATTTGGCTGGAAGCAGTTATTTGCAAGAATTGACAATGACAGTAAGTGAGAAATGGTCCTTTTAGGACTGTCGAGTGCTTCAGCTCAGCATCACTGATGAAACCTTGGCGAGTCGAAACAGCGCTGTCTAGTTTTGAATCACAAGTTCATTAAGATCAGTATCTAAATGCACCAAGCGCATCTTCAGTTCAATCAGGTTGGAGCCTAGTCCCTTACCCTTGTAGCTGATTTTTGTCAGAAAAACAAATGGGTTCATGACTAAAGAGATGTTAACGATATGCAAGTCTTTAGACATCAGTACCGCCCTTCACGGGGTACCCCTACCTGGCTGGGGTAGGATGGATGAAAAATTTGTTCATCTGTTAACGGGGGACATGGGGGCCTCATTCGACAGAGTGTCGGGGCCTTCTATATCGGGAGGAGTCGTCTACAGCATAATCTATAGCTTCCCTAACTATTATCTAAATGCAAATATGGAAATACCATAATATGAATATTCATCGATTTACGAAATGCGTTTACAAGTTTTTGGTTATCAGCGACATCTCGAACACAATAGAAAAAGTATACTGTAATTTCGTTTCTTTTCATCTTCTTATAGCCTCTCCAAATATTGCCAAATTATTTTTGTATACAGACTTTTTATTATGTTTGTTGCTTTGTTGCATTTCCTACTGAGAATATTTCGAAACTATTTTGTTTCGAAGTATTCTAGTTCTATTTTGTTAGATGTGTTCAATTCTGATTACTTCATTTATCAGTTGATATAAATATTATCAGGAATATTTAAATTGTTGGGAAAGAAAGTTTTTGGCTTTCTACTACTCCATCTGATACAAAAAAAAGGGATGAGAGAATCTTCCAAAGAATTTTTTTCTTTCGTGTAATTCAATGTTTATATGAAAGTAGCTGTTTCAGGAGGACTTTCTTTCAGTTTGTGTCTGAAAGTTACTTCTTTGCATGGTCTACACATCCATGTATAGAGTAACTTATTTTCAAATTGATTACTTCCTTCCTTTCTTTGGAAGATTCTCTCATCCCTTTTTTTGTATCAGATGGAGTAGTAGAAAGCCAAAAACTTTCTTTCCCAAAAATTAATCACTCCTAAAAATATAACCCCTTCAATTCATTTAGATTGTTATGTTTATAATATTTTGTAGTTTTATATTATGAAATAAATTGGGCATTGTAAAATTCAAATCCTATATTTTTATGTTTTATACATTCTTGTAATTTCTTATCTGCCAGAATTCTTTTACGATGGCGAATCATTTTGAATTACTATTTAATGTCATGTTCATATTGTAATATGTTTAAAATCTATTGTTGAGTACACATTGTGCTGGTATTATATGTCTCCATATTTTTCTATTCTATTGGTATTACTGAATAAATGTTGATATCTTGTGGCATACCAAGCATAAGACATTCGTCTTGTCCTCAAGAAATGGGCTTCTGGGTCTGGGTCCTGGCAGATATCCTTCTGTCGGTCTGGCCGATATATTGTTGGCCACTGTCTCCGTGTGCAATACAGAGTAATGTTTCGGATATATTAAAACATGTATTTTACACCTTTGAAATAGAATAAAAAATATCCCAAAGAACTTTTCTGCCCTCTACAGCATAGTCCTGAATTAAATTATTAATGACCTAGTTTTCAAATGAAATACCCAATAAACTGAATATTTGAAGCATTTAAATGTTATATACAGTGTGCCCAAGATAAGGAGGACCAGCATTGGAAAGTCGGTAACCGTAAGAGATATGAAGCCGATTAAATTTGATAAATGTTTACCGTTTCGTGGCTTATTTAAATAGCGTTTCAAAATTTACTAACTGAACAATTATTGTAATACATCAGTAAAGTTATCTTTAAAAATGCTAAGCTGGTTTTTCTTTTTCCAGACCATATACAAAATTAGAACTGGAGATGGATTCTCGGGGACGAAACGTTGTATTAACAAAAAATTGGTACATTTCGGTTCTTTGAGTTGTAAAATGGGCTACTTTCTTCCAATCGACCTGACTTTGTATATCTCACGGTTAAATATTTCCCCATGCTCCTCACCTTGGACAAAGAGACACGGCCTTTTTCTTTCCTACTCCTAATCGGCCCGACTATACCTTTTGTAATATACTTGAAACAATGAAACAAAACCATTATAAAAAACTTATATTAACAAGTGAAGGATTCCAAATATGTATCACATTGCAACTCCAGATGTGTGATAAAATGCTCCGTGACAAAATATCCGTTCCTTCTTTGGGCAGCCTCACGTGTATTTTTTGGAAGAAATAGCATCAAATATCCTTTGGAACGTCGTGGATGAGAGTCCTGACCATAAACTGCTGGTTGGAGATTCGTTGTTTGACCTTCCAAAGAAGTCATCGTAATAATCGTAGTCTGTTGTAATTACATTGAATTTTGCATAGTACGCGGCAGCAAAAGCCGAATAAATTAGCAAAGCGGCGGTGAAGAGCTATAAAAAAGAAGAAGCGTTAATAATGGCTTAACACTAGTATAGTCGATTACAAACCGATATCAAAAACAAACGTGTTACTGTTTTTCATGTATATATGGTTAGCAAATGAGGTGATAGTAAATCAGTTTTTCTATACTATTGAACGAAAGCACATTTTAATTATATTTATTATGTTTTAGTTAAAAGTTCTATATGCTTTAAAAAGAATATAAATTCATTTGTGTCGAACAATTACATACATCTGTTTTGACTCAATTTCTAAATTCTGTCGTTTCAATTTTTATCTTGATTTCTATCGTTCTGATCAGAAATTAAAAATTTGTATTTCGTTTTCAAAATATTACTTCTCTGAAAACATCACATCAGACTAATCTAACGACTCTCAATAACCTAGATATAAATAAATATATAAAACACATTATGGATCTAAATTTATACAAAAACACATAACCACAATCTTATTATCACAGAACATGAACATAAAATGATACCAAAAATTACATAAAAATGTCACAGTTAACTCATTTAGAATATAGTTCCAAAGAATTATCTGAAAGACATTTTTATGGAGGACTCAATACTTCTTACTGTTTTCTGAGGTATATATAACCTTCCACAATCTAAAAAGTAAATAAAACGGTAGCCGGTCGGTTGAGATGAATGGTTTGCTCTACTCATTCAATCGACCGCTGTGTGAACCGGCGGTTCGAGCCACAAGGCCGGACGATCGATTTTCACTTGCTATCATGCCACCCGTGTTAGGAATCACACGTTAAAAGGTAAGACCTCGTTAGCTCTTAGCTCGCACAAGTTTCGACTTTTGAGAGTTGTCGTTCGTTGGGGGGCGACAACTGGTTAACGAAAAAATAGATTTCAAACAGATCAATAGGCAAATAAAAGGCAAACTGATAAGTGACTTGTTATATTCATAAATTTTGTCTACATATTTAAAAACTTAATTGAAAAAAAATTTAATTTCTTTAATTGATTTTTTTCAATTTGAGGGCAACATTTATAAATTGGACAAGTTACTGACTAAATGGACTCTTCAGTGGTTTATATCGCGCAGTAACTTAGCAGGGTGAACTTTTCTCTTTTCCTTTTTTCCCACTTTTCTAATGATTTAGCTTTGTTTACCTTTTAGATTGTGGAAGGTTATATCAATTTCTCCTAAATGAAGCAAACATTGAAGTCATTGCTAATGCAATATCCAACCAACAAACAACTTGGCATTTCATTTCCCCCAGGAGCCCTCATTTTGGTGGATTATGGGAATTTTCCATCAAATCCGTAAAAAACCACATCAAAAAGGTAATAGGTGACACTCTGTTGACATTTGAAGAGTATGCTACAATTTTGTCACAAATTGAGTTGTGTATTAACTCCAGACCAATAACCTCACTCTCCAATGATCCATCAGACTTAAATCCTCTTACCCCAAACCATTTCCTGTTTGGAGATTAATTTACAGGAATTGAAGAAGCATATTTTTACAACACCAAGACGAACACCCTTTCTCTTTGGCAGCATCTTCAAAAAATGAAACACTATATATGGAAACGATGGCAGAAGGAATATCTCTCAACTCTCCAGCAACGGACAAAATGGAAGACAAACTCAGCTAACATCATGATGGTGGGCGATCTAGTGTTAGTGATAGACAATTCCATAAACCATGGCCTCTAGGAAGGATAATAGAGGTACACCCAGGTAACGATAATTTGATTAGGGTGGTAACAGTAAAAATGGCTAGTGGAACATCTAAGCGAGCTATTACCCGAATAGCCAAGCTACCCATAGATCCATCCCGTCGGTATAGGCAGACAGTGACGTCATCACACCAGTCAGGTTGCTTTTCAGCAAGGTATACAAACCATCCAGTCAATTAAATTGTCACGTGGTGTCTCACCCATCGGCGAACCAATCAGCGTCCTCAAACTGTCACGCATAATCAGAGCGCACGCTTCTGCATCATTGTGGCGGGAGATCTGAATTTTCTGTGGACATAAATAATTCAGGTAGACAGACACGCCGTCACGGCAGACTAGATATAGTAGTTAACATAATTAAAAAAAGTTAGTACTTATGAAAATCGAACCCAGGACGTCCGCGTGGTAGAAATTGTCCTTAGCCTCTACACCAACGTAACCCCAGAAAACAGTAAGAAGTAATGATTTCTGAAATTTAGGATGTCATCCACTGGGTTGAACATGTTACACCTTAGGAGAAATTGTAGTTCACAACTTCAAATTTTCAAGCTGATTTACTGCCCCTATGACTGTGCGAAAATTTCAATATTGAGAGTGGTCCTTGTGTATTTCTATCTTGCGAGCAATATGTTTATGAATATAACTGTTTTGAACGAAAGTTAATTGAAGTTCTTCGACAAATATTATTGAGACATGGAAGTTGTCGGACTTGAAGTTGTTGCAATAAAAGTTTGCAAGTATTTGGCGAACCTGCTTTAAATATTGTTCTTCATTGTCTTTTTGATATGAAGCTTTTTTCAAAATTAGCTAACGAACTCCAGAACTACTCATATACTACTTGAACTGAGTTAATTCAAAGTAGACCAATCTTAGAACTTCGTTGAAATGTCTCAATATATGTATATGTCTTGTATGTGAGCATTATCATTACTATTATTATTATTTTTCAACCTGAGTTTCCGCTGGTCACGCCCTATCTCCCTAAGCACCGATATATTCGAGAGGGTGCGCCAGCATTATCAACCAATGACCACTCCCCACACCGTGGGGTAAGTGATCATTGGGTCCGAGAATTATTGGTCCTGAGCAAGTGCCGTGAGCCAAGAATGACAGCCTTCTGCATCTGTCCGGATAAGATTTCTGCCTTAGTGCGACAAGCCGGTATGATTTTGAGATTCGAGAGTAGATATGGCATCATTCCTTCAAGGTTAGGTTATGTTAGGTCCAAACTGGGTGGGTCTATTCGACCCTCCACCGCAACCCGCAAGTGTTTATTGTGGCTCAAACCTATTCACACTCGACCAAATAAACCCAACTTCTTAACGAAGCCGATTCGTTTGTATGGTGAGTGGTCTTTCAGGTCAGATGGTGAGAGTACGGCTCCGCCGAGTATGTGCTCTGCTGTTTCATCATTTTTCAAACAGAGGCGACACACACTGTCTTCCGACAATCCGAGTCTCTGCATATGATTATTCGAATGACAGAGACCTGTAAGAAGTTCATTCCTACTGTAGTCCAACGACTGTTTGGTATCAAGCTTCGAAGGGTGAATAAAAGCCTTGAAGTGAGCCAATCCTGAAAGATTCTGCCAGAAGTCCATAAATCTTCTTACCGTCCAGGTATTCAATCTTTGTTTGCCAAAGCCTAAAGCGATGCCAATATTCCTCCAAGGACTCCAATAATCAGAACAACCATCTTGGCAGAGTGGTCTGGATAGAGTCTGCGGAGTTTGAAGAGAAAATCTCGATATTTTCCTCTTTTCTGACGATATTTGTCTCGCCAGGAGCTGAAAACTCCACGACAAATATCGTCTTGCTCTAGTGGTCGAGAAGGACAACATCAGGCTTATTAGCTTGTATGAGTCTAAGGGTGGAAAACGAATAGTTCCAATTAATTCGGCACTTCTTGTTCCCCACAACGGATTCAATATTCCCCAGAGCGTAAGGCAATACCGGTTTTTAGTCAATACCGTAAGACTGCTGTATCATTATTATTACAGTCGAAACTTCGAGATAAAAGTCGAAATTTTGAGATTAAAGTCAAAATTTCGAGATAAAAGTCGAAATTTCGAGATGCAAAGTCGTAATTTCCAAGAAACAAATAGTAAAAATATGTGGCCCTTCTGCGCTTCCGTAGATTTCAACTTCACGAGCCTAAGTTTGATATTAATATTTATTTATCGTATCAAAAACCCAACTAGGATTTTTAAAGAGACCCACAGCATTTTCAGAATTGGGTATATCATATTTTAGCATTGGTCGAGTTTTGTTTTCTGAGTCCGAATTGAATTCGAACTTTAGATATCCTTATAGAGAATGATACTTGAGAAATTTCAACGATCTGGCTTCGTACGCTGGTACTTCAATATTTTTTAGTGTTTGTTTGAGAATAAAAGTCCGCGATAGCATATATCTACCTCTTATGTGGTAGCAACTATATGCAAAATACTAAGCCATAAATACAATTAAATTTGATACTTTTTTTACAATGCACATTTTAGAATATTTGTCAAATTCTTATTAAAATTGATACAATTGTCGTTTTAAATATTTAATTTGATACAGTTGGCCATTTTTTTCAGTTACTGTATTCTTATAGTGAAAATTTAAATTACTAACTGTGGCCCATTCTCATATTGACGTACAGCCGAAGCTACTGAACCTAGAATCTTGAAATATGCAGGAAGGTTCTTTGTATACCGTAAATAAGCATCAAGAAAGGGATTCAGGAATTTCCACCCCCAAAGAGGAAAAATAGGGGTTCACAGATTGTATTGAATTTCGTCAGTGTTGAAGTTGGAAACCAGAAGTTTTGGGTTGATAAAAAAATATTGTAACTATTTGTTTAAAATGATCTGCCACGAAACTTAATGTGACAAATCAAATTCTACGCGAGCGATGCAGCGGGCAACACATTCGTACCTTGGTAAGTCATTCTTCAATTGTTGAATCTACTTTTTGGAAATAATCATTATTTATTCGACTCGATTACTTTTTTTGCTATTCGTCACAAGCCGATTCTGGTTGTGAGCTACCACACTAATCGTCATGACCTTTAAAATGTTGGGAATTCACTCTTTTGTTTTGATTTTATCAAGCGGATACTATATTGTCAGAATGGATATGGTAAATTATTTCATATATGTTTTTTCACGTTACTTTGTTGCAATTACGGTGAATTAACTCTATATAATATTGTGTGAAGATGCAGAAAAGTACGTAAGTGATCCGTACTTGCACAGCAATTACGTTTACATCAATTATCGGTACTGAGTTGAGAGATAAACAT